ATGTATTCAAACACTTTTATTAATTCCATCACATGACCGTTCTGCCTTTTAAATAGTTAAAAATATACTGTATGGGCATGTAGCTTTTAGTGATGCTATTCATTACAGTGTACTTCTATCAGATTTTACAACCATGCAGTATGAAAAAAAGAAAGAAATGACTTAATTAGTCATTTCTATACAGACAAGAGAGCCGCACGGTTTCATATTATAATAATTATGTCTGCTGCTCCGCAAATTAGTCCCTGCTTCTTCAGATGTTTGCTCAGATGTGGTAAAAATAAAGTGAGGAACATAAAATCAAACATTTCTCTGTGATACATAAACAGATGCCGTTTTCATTTTCCTTCCGTGACCTATAGCTTCTAATTTTACACAGATGTATTGCTCCGTGGTGTAAAAATTTAAATTCCTACTGCCAGTATTTAATCTAAAGTATGTAGTGTTTTATAGCTCTGGGATAAATAGTGTATTTTACAGCCATTTGAAAAAAATATATGTTGTCAGACAAATATGCGTGTACTTGAAAGGCTAGGATGTAAACACAAAGCCAATTTGTTGAGCTATAGATATGAATGAAAGCTTAATAAATATGATAAATCAGCAATAAGTTCTAAATTTCTCACTGATGGTTTTGGTTTCTCTTTCAATGTGTCAATCAAAGAGATTATGATGTCATTTGACTTTGGTTTCCTTTTTTAACAACTTAAAAACAAAATAATTTAAAAAAAACAACAAAGCACATCCTTCTGGTAGGGGACACCCTACACCTCACCTCAGTCACACAAGCAGTGTGCTGCTTGTGGGACTGAGTTTGCTGTGGCTCCTCGGACTGATGAAGTCCTTTGGATGAAGGACGAAACGTTTCAACAAAAAATAAACTGTTCAGAGGACATGACTTAACTTTGTTGGATTTTTTTTTATTTTACCTGGATTATTGAGGATGAACTCCTCGTGCCTCCAGCAATCTGGTCTGCTGGAGTCCTGTTCTTTTTTTCATTCATTCATTCAAACTTTATTTAGACAGATAAGACACATTAAGCCTAGAAGACTCATTTACAAGTGAGATCTGTTTAGACAGACAAAAAGAATAAAACTAGACACGTAGGAATTGGAGACGAAAAAATTCTCATCAGACTTTTTTTCTGCCTGAGAAGAAAAAACTGATATTGAAAAACACATTGCACAAACAAGCACATACTGACGTAGACATTCTGCAGAGGGGGGGGGGGGGGACAATGAGAGCAGTGAGCGAAGCCACAGACACTATCGAGGGCACTGTAAGAGTTCTGATAATGGTGTAATAATCAGCCAATGTCCTCGGTGAGATTTGTAAACATTCTCGAGGTATGTCGAGGAATGGCCAAGAATAATGCCTACGAGAATCTAAGAGTCCTGAAATGATGACACAAAGTTTATTCAGCTGGTTTCATCTGGTTATCAGTTGGAAATTCCTCAGGGAAGTGGGTGGTGAGCATCAGATTATATGTTCTCCAGGTGAATTCAGATAAGATGGCCTTCAAGGCCAGCCAAGGGAGCCAAATTCAGATAAACACACAGTTGTTTTGGGGACAGGCAGAACTTAATGACATCTACCTTGAGTCTGTGTTGGACGACTTGGTTCCGAAATGTCCAAATTACATGGCCACACGGATGGAACGTGACTGAGTAAAATCCCAGAGATCTGATCCATTCTGCCCAAAGCATTTGAGTCTGGGTCCTCGAGGCACGAACCAAGCCATCATAAAGGCAATCAGCGTGATCGGGTCCAAAATTTGCTGCCGACGACTTCCTTGATTGTAGATAAAACCAGCAACCAGCTGAATCCAAAAAGCAGGAACCAGTTATTGTTTATCCAATTAAATATGCGTCTTTAAAATCCACAAGTGGCAGCAGAGATAGACACATCATCAAGTCTTCCAAGTTGATGAGATATCCAGCTGTGTGCGTGCCAACAGGGCAAATCGGCTTGCCTAAAGCCTGTCTTCTCTTCGAAGAAATGTTGTAAATTGAGTTGAGGGACCAACTGATCAAAACAAGTCCATAGTTATGGTTCGGAAGAAATGCAAGAGAGGCTCAGAAGCAGTTTCACAGACAGACAGAGCAGCAAAGCAAAGCGGAGAGGGAGGGGAGATGCGTCCGATTTCAGCAAGAGCAAGTGGTAAAGTGGATCCCTTGTGAAGGTCCTCATGCCTCTTGAACTTTGTCTACCTTCGTTCTGGTGTTATTCCACCACCAGCCCTACTGCCTACCTCAGCCTGGAACATTAAAGCCTCTGCTCCATGGTTCCCCTTGTTCAGTAAGATGACGCCCATCCAGTAATCTGCAACATCTCTCTATGCTCCTGGACTCTTCCTGTTCCCTTCCTCTTCAGGTGTTCCAGTCCCCTTTTGTAAATAAGTGTAATACAGTTTATATATCTTACAGTAAATTATTTCTGAGTTGGTCTTCTTACACTCAGTCTGGTTATTTATTGAGTCTGACCAAATCATGACACTTGAACACATCTCGGTCTGAGTGGTTCCAACTGGTCTCAAGAGCACAGAGTTGATTTATTTTTTAATCAGAGTTAATTTTGAGTTTTGACTATTGGGTCCATTTTGTAATGTGCTCTTAAAAATGCTCATCTTGGCTTGGACTAGGATTTTTGACTCAATTACAGCATGACTAAAACTACATTTCTCACATAAGGACCACTTTTATTAAAAGATTATTTGTAAAACAGTTTTATCCGAGCAGTTATCCAAGAAAATTGAATAATTTCAAATGTTAAGTGCATAAGCAACAAAGAGGCTGAATATTTTCACAAACTTTTTTTATAACTGCATTGCTTATAAGTGTCAAAAGCCAAAGACATAGATAGAAAATGACTCTAAATGTCAGGTGGTAAATATTTTCAACCTTGAAATTGTTAGTCAAATCCATATTCCAACTTTAAATTCAGCTTGTGCTGAGAACCGTTGCAGACGAGTTTGACAGATTCTTGGCTGAACTGGTCAAACCATATTCTAAAATAAATCTTGTTTCTTTAGCACAGTTTGTAATAATCTTGAAGCACAATGTAGGTCCTATAAAACAACTTCCCATCTTCATTAAATCAACGACTGATCAGTCAAGTTGAGTGTTCAGTTTGAGCATTTTGAGGAATATAACCAATAAAAAATGAGGTTAAGTTATTTGCATGTTGAAGTGTCATCATCAAACTTACCTGGTTTCCAACAGCAGCCAGGAAGTAAAGTTATTATTGTAATAGTAATCATTGTTTAGACTCGCATTGTGCTTTGCATCCTCTAAACCCTAATCTGGACAAAATCTGAAGATTGAATTTATATTTTGACAGGGATTTTTGTGGCGTGTGAATAAATTGTTTAAGTCATTTTCGATAAATTACCATTAATATTGCTGCAACTGATTAAAATTTTGTAAAACTTTCACAACAACACGGCCAGTAACCAAAATTACACAAAAGCCACACAACACAGTGTGTTAGTTATTGCAGGTGACCTTACTTGACCTTGTTACTTGCCTGTGTGCATTTATAACATTGAGTCTTTGAACCACTGGACAGAGTTCAATCAATTTATCAAAAAGAAATTGTTGGATGTACAATGACAAATACTTTTAAGAGTTAGCCTGATTCAAGATGACTGCCCAAGCTAATTGGCTTTTGACAGATATTGAGCTGAAATTTGATGTAGCAGCAGTTTCATTCATTCCTTCAACCTTTATTTATACAGGTTAATCCCATTTCGCCTCAGGGGCTCAGTTACAAGAGAGACCTGCTTTTAACAGAGTTATGACAACAATGGACAACAAAGACAATAATAGACAGATGTGTACATTTTTAAAAAAAAAAACAAGTGAAAATAAAATAGTAATTAAAAGGAAAAGTAACAAAAAACAGATAGGTTGTAAGGCGGTGTAGAAAACTAGAAACAAGAACATGTCTGCATTGGTTTTTCCCAGGAACTTAACAAATGTTTAAAGCCATTTAGAGAGAGTCATCCTTAAAACATTTGCTGACTTTTACTCATCCTGAGCTTTGCACAACCTGTAATCTGTACTAACTGGTCCTAAACACATTTTTCTTCAAAAAAACCCCTCCAAGTTCATGATAATCATCTGAAAATTAGACAGTTTTCTGTACAAGAAGCTTCAGACAGAAAAGTGTAGCTTGCTGCACACGCAGACAACATGTACATGTGAAGTAAAGGATTGCAGATTTTGTCTGGTCTTTTCAGACCCCACAGTTTCCACATGAAAAGGTGGACTGATACTTCTCAGTATCAAGGCTTCACCACTGACACTTTCCTGTGCTACATCTCTCAAATCCATGGCGCAGAATCAAAAAACATGAACATAATGAAGAGTTAAACTCTCTTCTAGCAGGAGCTACTTTTTTTTCTTCATCTGTTTTATGTTTTAAATTAAATAAATATCAGCCAACGGGTTCCCTGCCTATAATTGACATATTTCACGCAGCAAATGCTTACAAATTGTGTTTGAACCCTTATTTCACCCTCAAGACGCTCACATTGCGCAGGACGCGCGTCATGAATCCCCCGTCTCCACCGCGGCTGAGACGCGCTGAACTCCCCTCCTCCCTCACCCTCTTCTTCCTCCCTTACCCTCTTCTTCCTCCCTCACCCCTCTTCTTCCTCCTCCCCCTGAAGCTTTTGAACGCTCCTCGCCGTGTGTGCGTCGACAGGCGGGCTCCTCTCCTCCTCCGGAGTGAACCCCACGCAGCTGCTGCGGTTCCTCAGAGCCGGACGCGGCGCCGTCAGGAGCGGACACCGCGCGCGTCTTTGCTGCTGGGATTTAATCACGTGGACTTCTTACAGCCTCAACCGAGAGTGGACTCGAGCTGTTGCTTCTGATCACACTCCCTCCTTGTATTTGATGACTTCTGGAAGACAAACTTGTGAAGCCCAAACGCGTCGCGGGGTTTTCATGTGCTTTATGCGTTTGCGCTCAACAGTGAGGTAGACAGGCACGTTCTCCCAGAGTGGCGGGGTGATTTATCCCGTGGATGCGGCTGTTTGGGTCTGTGTCTGAGCCCTGCAGGATCAGCCTGACATAGGGCACCATGGTTTCACCGGTTCAGAGGAATATCACGCCAGATATGCTGCTTTTTGTGCCAATTTTGTGGTTTTCAGCGCTGACCGGAGCGGCTCCTTCTCTGACCACCGAGCAACTGGACACCGGGGTTGTAAGTTTATTATTATTATTATTATTATTATTAATATAAAAAAAATTATGGGAAGTTTGCAGGCATCCAATACAATTCGACTGTCACTGTTGCACTTTTGCAGCTTATTGGATGTAAAATCTTGCAACAGTTTTTAGAATTCTTCTGTAAAGGTGAGACATTGAGAATAAAAAGTTCAGATACATGCACGGTGCTGCAGCTCGCAGTGAATAAATGGTCATGATTTTGCCTTGGTGGCATATCGACCCCCGCCACAGCATGCTGACAGTGTGCATGTCCCCCACTGATGGATTGCAAACAAGGCTCTGCTCCAACACAATCACAGCCCAAAGCATCAGGCCTTATTTCTCTTTGTCAGTCTTGATCTAACCTCTAACATTTATCTGAGCAGGTCAACAATACGCTGGGACGCTGCGCCAAGCGGCTGACAATTAAAGGAGAATATGAACTCAAACTTAAAACAGGTTATCCTGAACTTTATGCTTGAAATAGTTTCGTTTTTTTTAGATCTATTAATATGCATATCTAAAATGCGGGTATGCGCTCAACATAAACAAAGCACTCCATTGAAAGCATTTGATTTAGTCAATTTTGCTTTCTTTTTTTTCATTTAACAACACTTCATCGGTTTGTGTTAAACACTTATCAGACTTTTTCACGACTTTGCAGTGACCTTTAAGTTTGGGGCTTGCAGATAAAATACGAGTGTCAACACAAGCTGTGTGAATCTTGACTATAAGAATCATTTTGATGATGTAACAGAGCTAATTAATGCCGTTTTGTGGTATTTTCACCAGAGGATGCTTTACTTCCACTTCATAGTTGGAGTTTATTGGACGTAAGACTTCCAGATAAAATATTTGTCTGTTCATTAATCCTTCCTCAATAACGATTTGCATTCATTCCAGCTAAATCAACTCCCGTGGTAATTACCGGTAGTCTTCTAAGACTGGCTCTCTCCTCTGATAAATCCATGTTTTATTGCCGTTTGAAACATCATCTGCACCGTTTGACTCAAAACGCTGCCGAGGTGCATTTTTATGGTGGATATGATGGTATGTGGACATGGGCTGGAGGCAAACATTCATCTTCTTAACGTTCACAAACCTGCAGACGGGTTGACCTGTGCTTCACTGTTAGCATGCACACGGTGTGACCTAATTGCATGGGAGCACACTTTGTGATGCAACCAGTGACTGGTGAGGATGAGTTAAACCTTAGTTCCCTCTTTATTTTAGCTTGCAGTTTGGAAATATCAGGTCTGTCCTTTGGGTTAGGAGACAACACTTTCAACACATGGCTAATAGTAAACACTATTTGGACATTAAACTGTCAGAGTTCATTAATAAACGTGTCCAACTGCAGTTATCGCCTCGTAACTCGTGAAATGAGTGCAAGGAGCAGCTGCTCCCAGATTTTTTTTTAGGGAACCAAAACACAGACTTAAAGCAGCTTAACATGACAGAGAGCTTTGAGCACCTGTTCAAGCAATTTGTCTGACAAAAACTAGTTTGTTTTAGTGTTAATATGTAAAATGATTGATTTATGTCTGGTTTGAATGTAGTGGATGTGTTACAGGTACTTTTTTTCTTTATTTTGTCAGTGAATAATCTTAATACTGATTAGCCTTTTGGGATAGCATTGGATTTAACTTTAATGTTCAGCTACAGACCAATAAAGTCTGAGCCTTTTAAAGAAAAAATATATTTAAATATTTCATTATTCTCTGTTTTTTTTTAATTTTTTTTATTAATGGAGTATTTTCTTTTAATTCCCACTTAAAACAAATGAGTAGCTTATTGTAGTTTCTTCTCCAAAGGTGTTTTTCTAATATGTTTCATCCACCCCACATCCTAGAAACTCATTTTCCCACAATAAAGCTTATTCTTAAATATAAATGGTGAGTTTATTAGTTTTCATTAAAAAATAGCATCAATTGTTACAAAACTTTTCCTCACACTGGTTTATTTTTATCACCATTACAAGCAAAGGCTATAATGTTTTTTTTTTTTTTTTTTCTGGATGTGCTTGATGGTTTATCTGTAGAGTTAGCAAAATATCTTGTGAACCAGTGGACAGATTTTGCTGAATGTTACAGAAAGTAATCATTAAATTTACTACTTTAACTCAATATCTTTTGAAAGCAATCAAATTCAAGATGGCCACCAGAGCTAACTAAACTTCAAAAGCACAACAAAAGGTTTTAATTTTGTCAGTTTTACAGCCACTGTGCTCAAATTTAATGTTTATAGCTGTTTGAGTAACACACACTCCAAGGGTTACTTTTTGCATTTAATATGTGCTTAAAATCTTTACACTAACAGTTTGTGTCAACACTATATGTCTGTTAGCAAAATACCTCGTGAAGCAATGGGTCGAGTTCAATGAAACTTTCAGAAGTTTATCATTCAGTGCACATCTACAACTGATTAACTTTTGGAGTCAATCCCATTCAAGATGGCCACCATAGTTTACTGACATGAGCCAACACAAACATTGCTATAGCTCTGTCTTTTTTCCAGATACTGAGCAAAACTTTAATGTGTTGGTAGCCGAGAGTTCATTAGTCCCTCGCTACTTCAGTTTGTTTTTTGCAGACTCGCTCTATCGCGGTTTTTCAAAGTGAGATTGGACATGACACACAATTGGCTGATTGATGGATGAGCAGCACGATCGGCATGTAATTTTTATTTAAAGCTTCCTCCTGCACCTCTTTGCAGACTACACTGCAGGATAAGCTTTCTCCTGCAGCTGATGAGCTGATCTCCGTGCAGAGCGGAGAAGTGGGCGGGGCCAAGAACGCTTGCAGGTGACTGAGAGCAGCCGAGGCAAAGAGAGGTCATGACATTCTGTGCTCTTTTAGAGCATTTAGAGTTTAGAAACATTGTTTAGAGAGTGTGGGAAGGGTTTAAAAGACCTTAATATGTATATTTATATAAATACTAAAATAAACTATTACTTAATACTTGTGCTACTATTCCTACTTTGCGGTTTTTCACTTATCGCGGCGCTTCAGGGTACAGATTCCCCACGATAAATGAGGGACTACTGTATTTCACAACACATACTGGATTAAGTCAAACTTTGTAATATTGCAGGAGATTGCGCATAATGTTATTTTTTAAGGTTTGACCAAAACAGCTAAAGCTCCGTCGTTTCTCATCCTGAGACAATCTTAGAGTAAAACTTTGACATGAAAGGTGGAGAACAAAACGCAAGGCTTTTAATCCTCCTCCTCATTTAAGCTGCTTCAACGTGAAATGTAACGTTCACAGTTTAAATCCTGAACATTATTATCCTTTGTGTTATCAAAAACAGTTTTCTTCCTCTCGTCGTTTGTTTGGTGTCAGCACGAGATGGACGAGCAGACTGACAGGTGTGCGGCCTTCTCCCCTGCGCCTAGACCTGAATGACTTTTAAATAAGACTTTCTGCTGCACTGATGAAAATGCTCTCAGCTGTTGAGAGCAGGTGGATAATTGGTTGTCGAGGGTTTCACTGGCATCTCAGCCCATTTGTGTTCGTAACTGCCACACATTTGGGATTCGGCTCGCGAAAACAGTCGTCTACCCGCAGAAGCATGTCCTGATATCCAGCTCTGGTGCTCTACAGTCCCATCACAACTTCAAAGCCACAACAAGGCTTTTAGTTGAGCTTTAGCGCTCATCGTATCCGTCGCTCGTTTTAACTCGGGTGCACAGTGGCCGTAATTAACGGCGCTCCAAACTTCAGCACGACTTCGAGGCATCCACTTTGTGACTTTGCCGACATCTAGAGCTGTAGATCTCTGCAAACCGCCAATTTGCAATTTCCAGCATATGAGGGAACTCCTACACAACAGCTACAATGTTATCTGTGCAATGTGTGTTCCATTTATAATGTAATGGCTGTTTTCAGCTCTGGTGTGGAACGACTGAGTTCCTGTTTGCTTCCAGAAACAGAACCGGGCTTGTTATAACAGCACAGACGGAAGACATAGGGGTCAGATGGTCCAGACCTTTCCTTCCTGGAAAATATTCTGCCCATAAATTAGTTTAAAATATAGTAATATAATATGCTTTTGAACATTTTGTGCTAATTATAGACGCAGAACAAAGGCTATAAAACATTTAACTTCACAATGATTTGCTTCATTGTTCTTCTTTCTTGCATGGCAAATAATGTAATGTCAGAGGTGGTAGGGCTCCAATTTTGTAAAAGTTAAGTTTTCTAAAACACAGCAGAAACAAAAATCTTGTTCCTTATTTTGCTCCATGACAGCTAGCATCGCCATTGACCAACTCTTCTGTATTTAGACAATAAATCTAGAATTAATGTCCCAACATGTTCAAGAAAACGTTTGGAGTGAGATAAATAAAATTAATTTCGTAGTACGGTTGACCCTGTGTTAACTTGCATATGATAAATAAATATATCGTGAAATAGACAGAAATGTGACTTAAATTTAAGTGTTTACATACATAAACAAACTGGTTTGTTAATTGAACGCCCAATAAAAACATAATCAGAATCTGCTCTGGTACTTAATAAAATAAAAACTCACCCAAACTTAAACTGTGAGAATTTGTGTGTCTCCCCTTTGTGGTCGTTGCCACTTCCTCGTGTTTCTGATTGTTTTTTCCCCGGGTGTTTGTCATTATCTTTTCATTAATGTCTGTATATAAGTCAGCGTCTCTGTCCTTCATTGTGCGTTGTCCTGCCGAGGCTCATGTTTCTGTTCTTCTGCGTCTCCCAGCGATCATGTAAGTTTTGCTGCCACGTTCAGCCTTTTGCTTTGTTAAATAAATTGATTTATTTTATTTTGCTTCCGAGTTCTCCTCCTCTGCCTGCACAAGGTCTCTATCAAACAGCAGAAACCTGATATAAACACTGTGCTGACCAAGTCCAGACACATAACTTCATATTAAATGGAAGCCTAACATGGCACTTTTTTTCTTCTTTTGTTATTCATTCAAAAAAAAAAAAAGTTTTATAATGTAGTTCCCCATCAGTTTAAGTGGT